CTTACAGATATATATATATATATATATATATATATATACTGGGAAGGACAGAGCAGCTTTCGTGAACCTGCATCACTTGTAGCGTAGACTCTACATCAGCTTGTCTGACGATGGAGTTTATGATAGTCAGAAGCTTGGCTGCTGCACGCTGAGGACATCCAAAATCCTTCAGTGTCTGACTACCGGTTTCTTCGGGCATTGCCCGGGTCTGGTGGGAATATCAGATCCTTCCGTCGAATAGTCTTCGAGATGAATAATTCGCCTACGATTGTTGAACTGATCACTCTCCATAAGTTGCGCTGGCTCGGCCACGTGCTCCGTACGCCAGTCGACCGACTTCCTTAATGGGCCCTTTTTGCACAATCACGTAAGAGGTGTAAACTAGCCAGGAGGTCAAACAATTACTTGGCAGTGAAGCATGTAAGCCATTACCAGCAGACTGAGGTGCGCTGGTCACTACCGTCTCCCTGAATGGAAAGTCCGAGATAGGACACATAAGTGATTGGAGACATTGTTAAACATGGCCTTGTCATGTCATCAATGGAGCTCGTGCATCCAAGCTAGGACCTTCAACGTATTGCTCCCCTCAAAATATCCCCAATTATTAGTCCACTAAATACCCTGTGTTCACGGATCAATTACGTCAGGTACCGCATCCAAAGCGCAGTTACTTAACCCATCTCCCTAAGTCAGAGGAGAACGGAACTGTGTTTGCTAGAACCACCTTACGGTAAGTAGGCGGTTCTTACAGATGATGATGCTATAGAGAGAAACTCTGGCTTGACTGGAACGACGTCACCAGTATATCCAACGCAACTGTCAGTATATCAATGTTCAACAGCAGTACATCATTACTACGTCAGCAGAAGTCATTAAAAAACGTTTTTCGAAATCCGCAATAGAGAACGGGGTCAAAGAATCATAGTGATAGTAATCGTATATCTAAAATGCGTGTGAAATATTCAATTGGTTTCAGCTTGTTGTGCTATTAATCCACCCTGGTGGCGTTTGAAGCAGCCTTTTCTGCTACCGTTGAATGTGAGTTTATGAAATGCTAGAAAGTTTACATAGAGTATGATTATCTAACCAACATAGTGATTTCAGTAAAGCAGCAAATTCTATCATGAGACTCTTTCGAGAAGTCAGCCGCAAATTCCCAGAAAGGACGCTGATTCGCAGAATGAACCATTTCTATGTAAGGATCGCAGGCATTCAACAAGAAAGGACAGGTTTCTTGGAAGATATTTTCTAACCACTGCAATAATGGTCGATGATTTGTTCTCTGATGTCGGCTGTTTGTTTGTAAACGTCACCGTACCAACCAAGGTGACTTAATCAGTGTGTTCTGGCTGAATCTGCATAATTGTTCTGCATGCGTTTTACTGATTGCTATAGTGAGAGTTCTTATTAGCTTGTCGATTGACTTGTCTCCTGACAAGCTCATGCCTAGCTGAATATTAGACTTGAGTCAAACCTCTTAATTTGGGTCGATAGTGAAGCTTTTGGGATCAGACTACCTCACCCTGTAGCGGGCATTTTTTGGTTGTTGTGATTTGTATCCTGGCACCTAAACTTCAACTCACAGGAAAGTTAAAACCTCCATACAGAGTTTCCGTGGACCTAAACCTGGCTTGCCTTCATTCCAGTATCCCTTAGGTTTCCAATACTATGAGCTGTGTTTAAATTCGTGCGGCGTAATAAGTTAATCCCGAGTTATGTAATAACAGTGATATATTAGAATATTCGGCACTCCGCGAGTTAAGCATCAAAACTAATTTTCAACTTTTGTGTTCGCTGATTAGTGATATCTGAGCTTTTCCATCCCAATAGCTCGTCAACCCGAATCGATATTGGTGCCGTTTGAGTCTTCTTACCATATCCGCGACTAATCTAATCCTTGAGTGAATTTATTAACGGTCACCACCACGTCTCAGTTAAGCCGTGCCACCAGTCTCCGGTTAAAGGCTACACTGAGTCGGTGGGTTCAAGTTTGTCGCACAGTGTAACAGCATCACTACCATGAATTACGGTCAAAATGGTTGTTATCCTATGTTTTCTTTTGCACAAGGAAGGACCATCTCTTCTTATGTTTTATTACCACAACCCAACTTCTTTCACAACTTTTCTTCATCAACTTAGGGTCCTGGTTATGGTGTGTCAGTATTTGAGACTTTTACTACTAATAATACACACACTGAGTTCAATTTAATTGCTATTTTACTTTCGATTTTCGTGGTGTGCTAGCGAAAATTAGAGCTATCACAGAGCAGTCCTTCTTTCATATGACTAAGAAACTAATTTATTTCAGAATCTGACGGCGGAATCAGTGAACTGGTTAAATGCACTAATGCACTGCTTACCAAAACTGTTTTCGGTTTGACTAGTCGTGTTCAACCGCGAGTCTAGAATTGTAGCTTCACTTTCTTGAATTCCCGCTAGTCTCTGTGTTACTCAAAATGTTTCACAGCCAAGCGTTCATTAACTTTTAGGCGCAAAAGCGCCCAGTGTATCATCGGAGAAAGTCATCCTGCATACGATTGAGAACTTACCCGATTTTTAAGTTCATCTTTGATACTGTGTTGTTCCGTTCTCGCTTCGTTCTCTTTTGCTGTGTACGTGGAGTCTAATGCAACGAAAATATCCTTCAGATCATCCAGCTGTTTTGTGTGCTGTTCAATCAGATACCGTTCCTCTACAAAGGTGTCACATTACCCGGATCGAGGAACTCTCCACCAACCTTCGCCAAACTCGTCCGTCAAGAGTTTCAGTTCAGCTTCGTAGTCAGCTTTGAGCTTTCGAAGTCGCTCATTTTGCAGTTCTGTTAACAAAATAAGAAAAGGACCAATTACCAACATATATATCCTCAGATCAAAAATTAATGATAAAAGTTATCTGCAATAAGACATAACTTTGAGAGCGTATCACAAACGAGTTATCGGAAGAGGGCAAAAACTTGAATTAAGGCGGTTTAACATCCAGTTATTGTCTTTCAGTTGTTACACTTCTTCATCTTTCGATTCAAGCAAAATAAACTTTCGACAATAAAAAGCCGAACAGTCACGTGGTTTTTAATCATGTGTGATGGGCTCGCTGTTCTTTTTAGTACAATTTCATAAGGTATTCGTTCGTGGATATGTCCAGCGCTTGTGGGTGACGATTGCGTGGGCGGCGATTGAGCTTGTTTGATGCAACATTCTAACAAGGCCACATTCATGGTTGAACACGAGAGTTTTTCATTTTCCGTAATCTTCCCGCAAACAGTAGGTGTCATTAATAAGAAATAAAAGTTAACCATGTTTGAAATAATTTCATCGAACGAGCAACTTTGTATTTTGCGAATCTCAGTAGACACTAATGGCGAAGAGTGACAGGTACTCGCGCTGACCTAGCCTATGATGAAATCAGGTAGAACCCAGAACTGTTTAATAACAACTAGTTGCCTCGCATTAAAAAGTGTAGTTAGTGGACAAATGCATTCTTTTCATGTAATATAACCAACAAATTTACCTGGTATCCCCTTTTTGAAGGTAAGCTAAGTAACTGACAGCATCCAATAAAAGACGATATTTTATGGGAAAAGCTGGGCTTCTGGTTTCGAAGTTAAATGAAGCTATCATATGTGATAGCTATTGAAGATCTTAAACAGGTCCAAATGTCGGGGGGTTTCTTGTTTTACTCACATCGGATGCCCATTCAGCTGATTTTGGAGAAAACCAATTAGCTCCAAGTATGACCGCTGAACTGCCAATGGTTTGCCATAATGTGACGTTTGCAACCACCAGTGTAGGCTTTTTGGTCAATGGCTATGCACTTTATACGTGTGCTGAGGAGGAATTTTCCGATGCACCGGCGCATTTTTGTAAAAGCAGGTTCAGAGCCACAGAAATTGGCGCGGTTATAGTCGGGTGGAGCACTATTGTTCTGGAATTTACGGTAACGAAGAAAAGTCAGGCCAAACAGAAAGATACACTAGCTGGAAATAAATGGCGTCCTAGATTTCCCCAAGAGCAGCATTCATTTGAGCTTTTGATAAGATGTTCGGTCGTATTTAACATCACAAAGTCCTAATGTGGGTAGAAATTCATAAGAGCACGGAAATGCAGGTGATGTTACTGAAGTGGCCCTGGAAAGTGACCCTGGAAGTGACCCTAGAAACACTAGAGTTGACAACCCCGCAATTTCACAAACTTTCAAAGGACTCCGGTGAGACCATCTAGACTATACAGTTTAGTACGTCGTAAAGTAGTGAAACAACTTGTGTAGGTACGGTTTTACGCCGGAACTACAAAAAATGGTAAACGCAGGGGAATTTATGAGTGCATATTGACAGCGAAACACCAAAAGATCGATGTTGCATGATTAATTAGTTTTTCGGTTTGTCTTCCTGATTAGATCAAATTATGTAGTTTACCTTATCGCGGCTTGTGTACTGATTGGTTTAATTCGAAAATAGAGCCATTGGAATTTCTGTGGACTCAGAATAGCCGTCAACACAATACTCGGGAGCGATCACTAACGACTGGGCACGGTGAAGGTCTGTGCAAACAACCTGGAGTAAACAAGACATTCTTCTGAATACGGAGTATTCAAAACAGACCGTTAGTGTAGGCACTATTGTTTTTTTGCCCCAAATTTCAAGAAGCAAGGTCATTTTTACGTTTGCAAACAACCACACAAAGTGATTCTACCTGCTTTTGCTGCAATACAGACGACGTGTCACTAACCGGCACGCTTCTCAATCAACGCGTACGCTGTAGGGATGAGCTATTAAACGTACAATTAGCTGGTGGTGCCACTTGCGCGAATGCCATCCACTTTAGTTAAACATCAGCTGCCGCTTCCAGTGAGTAGCTATCTACACCACTGCCCCAAATTAAAGGAAGATATGATCACTGTAGGCAGTTACGCGGCTTTTAAAGCTGAATAAGAAGACAATGACGATTTATTATTCTGCACAGAAGAAGGCACATTTGGGGGGCAAATCGGGGAAAACAGAGGGATAATGGGTGAAAATAATAAAAACCTTCCACAGAACAGAATAAAAACAGACAGTTTGAAAATTGTTGATAAGGTTCCTTGATAAGGTTCCTCACCTAGACTACTGCTTGACATAAAAGTCAGAGAAAACCTGGAGAAGCACATGTCCAGGCCATAAAATAAATCGAGCCGACTCAACAGGCGTGACAGTAGATAATACCGATGAAGCATGTGAGCAGTCTGGTTTGGTGTCCAAGTTCCCTCCCGCATCTGATCAAAGGTGAAGTTTACTATGGGGAGCTGTTGAAGTGCTCCGCAATGTTCGTTTGCTATTTTGTAAAAGTCAGTGAATACGCAGGAAAGTTCAAGGGGACACTTGTGAATATACGGTCTTTAGTGACTATGTGGATATGAGGTGTTCACTTTCTTATCTAATGAATTGTTACCGCTTAGTTCATGTTTGCAAATAAATGACTTCACAGCGAAGAATCTCTCTCCATTTATTAGATTCCGTGACGAGGATTAGCATGAAGATTACGTAGTCGCAGCCTTTTGATACTGGGGATGTGCGAACCTTTCTGGAGGACTTAGAGGATGTCACAGGTCTGCTGAACTGGAAACCGACCAGGATAAGTTGGCGACACTGAAAACCCTCTTCGGAGTCCAAGAAAAGGCTGCTCTGGATGTGGCTGTAAAGTGACTTCTAAGAATGTACTAGGTGGCCGCAAAATTAACCACCTGCAGCGGAGTTCGACACCCACCAAAAACAGGACGCTGCAAGGCAGTAGAGAGTGAACAGGATGAGACCGGGATGCAATCCACCGGTCTGCAGAAGTCAATGGATCGGGATTTGTCGGGAATGGACGAAGTATTGTGCCAGCAGTTGGCTTATGATTAGTACAGCCTGTGCTTTTTTTCTCAGTTGCGGTTAGCGAGAGCGACTGGTTAGTTGAGTGTGGAGAAGCTGGTGCATCTTGTACGGGAACTGGCCGGGGCGCCACTGGTCATGTTGCAGTCTGAGAAGAAGGGGAATGATTTACCAGTGGAAGACCTGCGGACCAATCAAACAACTTTCTACCATCAAGAGAGAGTCGCGGAAGCACATTCGAGCTAGCCGATTCTGCTGCTGTCGCCTGCCTGGCCACTGGAAGAATCAGTGTCGTCATACACGACAACTTGTAAATACTAACGCTCTGATTTAAAGCAAAAACACTCATTTGCAAGCCATTTGGTTTTCACAGAAGACAATTGAGTCTCTCGGTTATGATGTTCTTCGACTGAATGTGTTGTATACAGGCCACCTCATGTTTCAGTTGGTACGATATTCGAGATATCCCAGTATATTTTCACAAAGGAACCTACTCACAAGTTTTCCAAAAATATACTGCGGCATCTCGAATATCGTACCAACTGAAACATGAGCGGCCTGTGTGCAACACATTCATTTGAAAAACATCATAAACGAGAGAATAACTTGAGTCTTCCGCGAAAACCAAATCGATTTGCAAGTGAGTGTATTTGTCGAAACCAGTCAATTTTGGGTTCGAATAGGATGTAAGTTTGACGAAAACTCGGGGACTGCGCCTAGCTGATATGCCCCAAGCAGGGCTGTAGGAGATTTTGCAGCGAATTTGTGAGCAGCTTTGGATTACTGTTTTTCTCAGGTGGGTTGCGATTCTTACTGTGACACAGGCTATGGCCCAGTTGATTGTCCAAATGATCGGGAAAATGGGGTTTTGCCCAATCAATAAAGAAATAAGAATGTCACTGAGGCAGAGGGGAAACGAAAAACAGTGCAAACGTTGCGCGCTAACCGACCAAAAATCGACAGCTTTGATTGCACTCAATGCACCTAAGCTACAGGACGATACAGCATGAGTTCTTGATTAGCCTGAGCGTAAATCAGACATTTTTGAGAGCAAAGAGTTTTGGATAGACCTAACCCGGGGCACACTGGTGACAGAGTACACCTTGACCAGCTTGACATTCATCCCCAGCGCTGCCACGAACGAACTGTGTGAAAAAGCTTCTGTTCTTTTGTGTCCTGTTTGATACAGTCCAGGAGTAACCTGAACTGTTCACGTGTGATAAAGATCCGTTCGGCTTCTTCGTGTTGACCGAACACAAAATTCCAATATAAACGCTTCTAATGGTAAGACCTCCGTCAGCTTTCGCCCCATCTACGTGAGGAATTTACAGGCAGGTTTGAAAGATGCTTGGAAACGGTTTACTTGAAGAAACTAAAATCGTGTACAACTCCTTACGTGTAGTGATAAAATAAGCGAAATGAAGATACAGGTTTTGAGTAGATTTTCAGCTTTTGAATGAGCTGACTTTAAAAGGAAATGTAGCCGTCCCTTCGGTCGCAGAGAGTTTTTGTTTGCTCCAACAATCCCGGTATTTTACGGCATTGGACTGTGTTCTGGATACAGGCAACTGGCTATCAAGTCAAAATACCATATTTAAACGGCGGACACCTAATATCAACTTGGAAGGATGACCTTTGATTTGTCGTAGGCGCTATCGAGTTCCCGGTGTTTGATTCATTGCACAAGAAGGTTATAGAGAATTTTGCCGTGTCTGGGGACGGTATCGCCGTGTACGGCTATTCAGAATCAGAACATGCAGCTCACCTAATATCCATATTAAAGCGTATCCCAAAAGATAGCATGTGGATCAATGATGCCAAGACACAGCTCACTTGAGGTTCAGTGACAGTGCTCAGGCAGAGGGTGGACCAAGAAGAGGTTGGGCTGCCGCTGGAGAAACTGGCAAAGAGTCAGAAGTGTCCAATCCAAGCGGTCCATACGCCAGTTTCTCTAACGGACAATATACTACGGATGTTCAGAGTTGTAACGCGATCGCTGCTCTACGAAATGACCTGCTTCGTCAAAATAGTGAGTGGACAAGTGAAGTGAACGAGACCTTTGAACGCGTCAGAGCGCTGATACTAAAATAGCACCCTTAGAGTGCTCGGGGTTGGGAAGATGTTTACTGTTGCCACGGTGGGTGCAGTCCTGAAGCAGGAGGATGAGGTAATCAAATGTGCCAGTCGTTTTCTGGATTACACTTAGGAGAAACATTCAACCATTGAGAGGAAACTTACAGCGACCATCTGAACCCTGGATAAGTGGAGGTCATATTAACTGGGACGAATGGTTCGCGTTGCTACCGACCACAATACCCTTGAGTGGATCAGGATCACCAGAGATTATCACGTTGAACTCACGAGTTAGGCACTCTGATCAACCCCGAAAGGTACCGGGGAATGAGAGCCATTTGATAGAATGGCTTTCAAGACAAGTACATGGAGATCATAAGCATTTTTAACAGCCTTGTTATCGGACTAGATCCTTGGAGGTTGATGCGGCTACAGAGGCGTGATCCGGTACCGCAGACGGTCGCAGTCGCCATTTTGAACACAAGAATTATTGAGAACCAGAAACGTTCCAGAATGACTTCAACTGGCTGAGCCTTAATAAAGCCAGCGTAGTATCCTGAAACAGCAGACTCCCATTTCCATGATATTTTTCGTCTTGAGAGTAAAGCTGATGGTTGAATACTACGAGATGGCACGAACAGGTTGCACCGAGACGTACAACTTACTTCAGTGGAGGGTATACTGGCCAGCGATGAGAAGTGAGGTAATGGATTGTGTGGTTTCCTATAAGAGATGCCAACTAGATGAGAGGGGATATTCAGAGGTAACTCACTCCATGGAACCCATGTTTGAATCAGATACAGGCGAGTTATGGCCTTTGGACATTATGGGCTCCATTCCGAGGGCAGCCTTTGGAAATCAATACATCGTAATAAAGGCAGAACATCTGTTGCGGTGGGTCGAGTCGGCAGTCGTTCCAAATAAACGGGTAAAAATTATCATTGGAGTGGTAATTCAACACATCGGAGCTAACCACGCGGTTCCAAAAATGATCCTAACGAATCAGAGGCCATGTTTTGAGCATGAAGAGTTCGGGAATTTCTTAGTGCGAAACCTCACCACCCAAAACCAAATGGCCTAATGAAATGCAATAATCAAACGATTAGATAGTGGCTGATGGTCAAAGAATGCGACTGAAAAGGGAACTTGCCAATAATGTTATTGGCACATTATGCGTCGATCCAACCAACTACAGGGAAGTCCCTATTCTTACTGGTGTACAGTGAATATATATGCCTCTCAAGTGATCAGAAAATTGAGTTGTGACGCCATCTTCAGGATGAAATTTTTCTGAACATCAGGCCGCTGCATTATATGTTGGTGGTTCGCCAACGCTGCTCTCAAGACCACGGAAATTTCCCTCTTCTCGACAAATAGCGGCCAACATAAATAGCGAATTGCTTCAGAAAATTGGTTTTGCAAAATAAAATAAAAGAAAACTTAATGTTGCTGAAAATCCAACAGTTTTTTCTTACCGATTAATTTGTCCACATTCTCAAGGTGCGAACGGAGAGACATCATATGTTGCTCTTCTGAGTCATTAAGGTCCTTGACGAGAGTCTTTATGATGCTATTTTTTCTGGACGGGGACATCGTTGCCTGGTGGAATGTCTTACCGATCCACTATTCTATCAAATGTTTGCGCCAAAATATCTACGTCCTTTTTAAGCTCCTGAGATTTCAAATCACGCAAAAGTGCTCTCCAATGGTGTGTGATTTTCAAATTATTTATCTTGGATGCACGTTCTTCTCTTTCAAGTTTGTCCTGGTTCTAGGTTTTTTTATCTGTTTTGTGAAATACCTGAAGATATTTGGAGAGCAAAGCCGTCCTTTTTGCCTTCATTTCTTCCTCTGCGAGCCGCTGTTGTTCTAAATACGCTATCTTTTCCTCTTCTGTCATGTTTGCAAACTTGTCCTTCTTTCCTTTCTTTTTTGGCGGCATCTTAATGGGAGATCTCAAAAGACCGTAAGAGGCGTACGGTTCAGTTTAGCGCCACGGTAACTATGAGCAATGGCCTTGAAACTGACGCTTTAGTTTCTGACACAACCGGAATGCCTCTTCTGTATGCTGCAGGAACGCGTTGAGACAAAAATAAGCAGTCAAGCAGTGAAAAATGCACTCGACTTGGGTGATTGCATGAGCCTAATGGTCGGATTTTCGTTGCTGTGTTTGGGAATATAGCCTATCGCTATGTGCAACATACAACTGCCTTCCTCGAAATTAAGAGGGCATCGATATTTATTTTTACGTTAGGGTTAATCTATTCGGACACCGTGTCCCAGTGGTATGTATGCATGATCTTTCAAGCTCACCAAACACCATCGGTACTTTGTGGCATATATGAGTTAGGCAAAGAAGGTCTCAAATTGAATGTCCACAGCCTTGTTCACGGAGAGAGGGTGTAGCGTGGAATGTCAGGAAGTCAGCAATGTTCGACGTTCCATAGGATGTTGTGATGACGCACATCGGTTCTAAAATGGGCAGATATTGAATTTGATAGTATTGGAATCAAGGAACTCATCTGCACAAATTGGGTGACGCAGGAGGGAAGACCGGAGCAACGCACCAGCGAGCGCATATTGAAACCGAAACCACAAATCTAGTACAAATATAGCAATAGCTCAATGTCACATGAAGTTGGAACATCTTTTCGGGTCGCTCCTCCTTGCCTGGGGTTCGTCGTAGTTTGTTAGGTATTCCCGTAATACAGAGAGGTATGTACACATCGGTCCGCATGATACATATGTGAGACCAGGTACAGTCATGTTTCAGTTTAGTCGATACATGATTTCCTCCTTGTTGTGCCATAAAACGGAGTATTCCTCATAAACAACTAATTTCGCGTGCACTGTCTATTCCGTTTACTAAGATGTTTACTCTTCATGATCTATTACTTATATCCACTGGTATTTCATTCGCTTTTTGTTGGTGTTACCTACGTTGGATCGCGATCTGGTTTCCCTGCATCCAGGGAGTTCGTGTGGTTGCAAAGATTTTTTTGCTGCTGAGAGTTTGGCCGATTGAATTGACCACAGTCTTACTGTTGACAGTTTTTTCAGTTGAGCACCACGTCAATAATAATTCACGACAGTCCTTCACACTTGCGTGCGCATTATCACGACCATTATTAAGACTTTTTTACAGACTGGCACTCTCACTCTGGCAGTGGCTGATTCACTACCTCCTTCGGATGGCAATGGTGCCTTGGCCACCATCCATATTACTTTCTCCTCAGATTAAAGAACTCCACTGATTTGGTTCTTTCATCATCTTCGGGACAAAGCTGTTGCATCTAAATGCAATCACTGAATTGAACCGATTTAACTAAACTGAATTATTCGCTTATGTGTAAATCAAACTACGGTACTGTAGTGATAGTACCACGATCGCTATACCCACCGTGACAGCGTATTTGTATTTTAATGTACCTTGATAGTAAACTGGCATCCCGTTCCATTTCTCACCCATGCCCTTTAGCTGCGCTCGTAAAAATGCACACAGGCTTCCTCAATAGGTCTCCCCAATATGCTCTATGCGTTAGCTTCAAGTGATACGGCACCCAGGTGCACTGTAGGCCAGGCCCACTAATCGACTTCGCTGTCTATTTCCATGCTGAACCTCTGGATTCGTGTTCTGTTGGCAACTTGCTCTGTTTGATAACGCTGACCTCAGACTGCTCACGAAACTAAAACCCGCCGGTTAACATGTTGTTAACCTAGAACTTCGCCGTTCGGGCCAACTGTGGCTCGTCGTCCTGATCTTGCTATCTGCGTTCTAAGCTAAAAGCCAGAAAGTGTGAAGGAATTCTTTTTGGAAATTGTGTACTTTTTTTGTCCAGAGAAAGCGTCAAATTACCTGCATTTTGTTATCCCATTGTCCACCGCCCTGGTGTCTGAGTGTTCGCAATGTTTATCTCTCGATGACGTGATCATGTTGGTATATCCACGGGGCCATTTATGCTAAACCATATATAATATTATATGGCACTCTCTTTTTCTTGTTTTCAAGAACTGCATCAGGGGGCTTTCAGGTCATTTCCTTGGTGTTCCAATAAATCTTTGCTGGTTGTATCATCAAATGTTTGCGAATACACTTTATTATCATTAAAAAAGTTGAACACATCCCGGTCTGTTTCTTCGTGACATTTATGCATTGGGACAACTAGAGTTCCACGAGATATTCTGGTCTGAACACAGTTTCTTGAATTTCGGTCATACCAGAACGAGTAACGGAGAACAAAGAAGTAACCGCCCCAAAACAAGCAGTGAAAAATGCACTCGACTTGGGTGATTGCATGAGCCTAATGGTCGGATTTTCGTTGCTGTGTTTGGGAATATAGCCTATCGCTATGTGCAACATACAACTGCCTTCCTCGAAATTAAGAGGGCATCGATATTTATTTTTACGTTAGGGTTAATCTATTCGGACACCGTGTCCCAGTGGTATGTATGCATGATCTTTCAAGCTCACCAAACACCATCGGTACTTTGTGGCATATATGAGTTAGGCAAAGAAGGTCTCAAATTGAATGTCCACAGCCTTGTTCACGGAGAGAGGGTGTAGCGTGGAATGTCAGGAAGTCAGCAATGTTCGACGTTCCATAGGATTTTGTGATGACACACATCGGTTCTAAAATGGGCAGATATTGAATTTGATAGTATTGGAATCAAGGAACTCATCTGCACAAATTGGGTGACGCAGGAGGGAAGACCGGAGCAACGCACCAGCGAGCGCATATTGAAACCGAAACCACAAATCTAGTACAAATATAGCAATAGCTCAATGTCACATGAAGTTGGAACATGTTTTCGGGTCGCTCCTCCTTGCCTGGGGTTCGTCGTAGTTTGTTAGGTATTCCCGTAATACAGAGAGGTATGTACACATCGGTCCGCATGATACATATGTGAGACCAGGTACAGTCACAGTTTAGTTTAGTCGATACATGATTTCCTCCTTGTTGTGCCATAAAACGGAGTATTCCTCATAAACAACTAATTTCGCGTGCACTGTCTATTCCGTTTACTAAGATGTTTACTCTTCATGATCTATTACTTATATCCACTGGTATTTCATTCGCTTTTTGTTGGTGTTACCTACGTTGGATCGCGATCTGGTTTCCCTGCATCCAGGGAGTTCGTGTGGTTGCAAAGATTTTTTTGCTGCTGAGAGTTTGGCCGATTGAATTGACCACAGTCTTACTGTTGACAGTTTTTTCAGTTGAGCACCACGTCAATAATAATTCACGACAGTCCTTCACACTTGCGTGCGCATTATCACGACCATTATTAAGACTTTTTTACAGACTGGCACTCTCACTCTGGCAGTGGCTGATTCACTACCTCCTTCGGATGGCAATGGTGCCTTGGCCACCATCCATATTACTTTCTCCTCAGATTAAAGAACTCCACTGATTTGGTTCTTTCATCATCTTCGGGACAAAGCTGTTGCATCTAAATGCAATCACTGAATTGAACCGATTTAACTAAACTGAATTATTCGCTTATGTGTAAATCAAACTACGGTACTGTAGTGATAGTACCACGATCGCTATACCCACCGTGACAGCGTATTTGTATTTTAATGTACCTTGATAGTAAACTGGCATCCCGTTCCATTTCTCACCCATGCCCTTTAGCTGCGCTCGTAAAAATGCACACAGGCTTCCTCAATAGGTCTCCCCAATATGCTCTATGCGTTAGCTTCAAGTGATACGGCACCCAGGTGCACTGTAGGCCAGGCCCACTAATCGACTTCGCTGTCTATTTCCATGCTGAACCTCTGGATTCGTGTTCTGTTGGCAACTTGCTCTGTTTGATAACGCTGACCTCAGACTGCTCACGAAACTAAAACCCGCCGGTTAACATGTTGTTAACCTAGAACTTCGCCGTTCGGGCCAACTGTGGCTCGTCGTCCTGATCTTGCTATCTGCGTTCTAAGCTAAAAGCCAGAAAGTGTGAAGGAATTCTTTTTGGAAATTGTGTACTTTTTTTGTCCAGAGAAAGCGTCAAATTACCTGCATTTTGTTATCCCATTGTCCACCGCCCTGGTGTCTGAGTGTTCGCAATGTTTATCTCTCGATGACGTGATCATGTTGGTATATCCACGGGGCCATTTATGCTAAACCATATATAATATTATATGGCACTCTCTTTTTCTTGTTTTCAAGAACTGCATCAGGGGGCTTTCAGGTCATTTCCTTGGTGTTCCAATAAATCTTTGCTGGTTGTATCATCAAATGTTTGCGAATACACTTTATTATCATTAAAAAAGTTGAACACATCCCGGTCTGTTTCTTCGTGACATTTATGCATTGGGACAACTAGAGTTCCACGAGATATTCTGGTCTGAACACAGTTTCTTGAATTTCGGTCATACCAGAACGAGTAACGGAGAACAAAGAAGTAACCGCCCCAAAAAGCCCAATACATCTATTAACGAGGCTGTTTAGAGCCTAAATTTAGAACATTCCCTGCAATAGATGTGCAAGATGCGTAAGTTGCACCATTTATGCAATCAGAACAATGGCATTGAGAGAAGCTGTAATACTGCTCCCTCGAAAACGAATCGATTAACAAAGGCATCTTCCAAACACTGGCCTCCTTTCAGTTGCTTGTGGCGGCCAATAATATTAATATTTAATCCAGCTGGTGAGTGACATACCGTCAGGCATGATCACAATATTACAGTGAGAAAAAGGCATGACTGGCGAATTTTGTGGTACAAGGAGAGTGCTTGGAAAGAGGACAGTTCCATTAACTGTGGGCATCTTCCGATGTAGACGTGGACAGGTGGCTGGCAAAAACAGAATGGGTGATGGCAAAACAAGAGGCGCCCTGCCTGACACGCGAAAATAAAGCTGTAAATTGCGGGAAATTATAAATAGGAACAGCGGCTCTGAGGAAGCAGCAGAGTTGACGTGATTCAACCGGTCATTTTGAACTTAAATCTAAGACCATCGG